AGTATCCCTGCAATGTGATTACATGGCCAGAAGGTGGCGCCTTGTTCATCCATCTTACCACTGCAAATGCATATCAATGGTGGATGATAAAGTAACATTTCCTTTGAGTTAAGCTTGACTTCTTGTGATTCATCCGGGTTGTTTTCCTGGCAAGTGGCTCCTTTCAGGAAGTTGTTTTGACTTCCCCATCTACTTCACAGCTCTGGGAGTTCTAATATTAACTAAGTCCAACTCTACTTAGCTTATAATAGTGGAGAACTATTCTTTTGGGGGGGCGTCCAAGTCCCAGGCTGTATTATAAGATAATCCATTACCAATGGCAATAGCTGTTTGCTCAAGCATCCACTCCTGATTCATCTTCAGATTCAGATTGGTTCCTTGAAGGCATTTCACAATCTAACTAACATCCTCCTGGTATGGATGATGTTGCCTAGTTGGGTAATGAGATGTCTGCAAACAAATAACCAAGGCCAGTTACCAATTTCTTAACAGGGTTGTCAGTTGCTTCTTGTAGATAAATGTGATGGAGACACCATCATGTACCTTAAAGTGTAAACCTCACTGAGGCCTAAGAGCCTCCAGATTTGGAATGGAGAGGTCTTTTCATGGGGAAGTTGCATCATGTGGAGCAAGCAGGAGTGGACTCTGGAAGAAATTTGCCCATTTGCAAGCCAAAAGAACGAGAAATAAGGATTGTATTTCCTTGTTTGTCTTTAAAATAAATAAAATCGACATACCTCTCAGATAATCAGAAAGACCAAAAGGAAACAAAAAAGCCTTGTCACCAGCAATCAGCACCCATATGAGCAGAGATTAACACTAAGAGTAACACTAGACCAGGGGTAGGCAACCTTGGCTCTTTTATGACTCGTGGACTTCAACTCCCAGAATTCCTGAGCCAGCATGGGGGAAACTTTGGCCCCTTCATGACTCGTGGACTTCAACTCCCAGAATTCCTGAGCCAGCATGGCTCAGCTTGGAAACCTCTCCCTTTCCCCTCAGCAGGGCTGGCTCAGGAATTCTGGGAGTTGAAGTCCATGAGTCATAAAAGAGCCAAGGTTGCCTACCCCTGCACTAGACCAAGTAAACAATACTCTAATCAAGGAACTACCGAAGCAGACGAACAAGCTAACAATAAACAACAAACTAACCAAGGAACTACCAAGACCACTCCCACCAACACGGACAGGACAGGACAGGCCATTAGTATATAAAAATAAGAACAAACCCTACTCGCTTTCAGCACTGATGATGTTACCTAGTGTGGTAATGAAACGTCTCCCAAGAAAACTACCACACTCAGAGAGCACCAAGGACATCGCAGTCTTGTCCATCTTTCAAGGGTTCGTTTTTTTTTCATGTTTTGCTTTTGAAGTTAGACTCCATAGTCCACAGGAGTCTTTTGGGGAAGCATCACTTTTATTAAGTCTGCTTCTGAATCAGGGTGTGGCACCCAGCAGTGGGGGGCGGGGCGGGGTGCAGGGTGGTTTCCCCGTGATTCAGTACGAAGGAAAGAGATGAGTTCCAGAAAGGTAGATGCTGAGTCTTCCCTTGGGTATGTGAGGATCGGGGAGCATGCACGATAACATCCTGGGGAGTAACTGGATCTTCCTCTGGCAGGCAAAGGTGATGATGATATGATGTTACGCAACGGAGAAGACAGATGAACCAAGAATTAGGATGACAGTCAGAAAAAATGACTGCAATTAGAGAGAGGCAAGTTTCCATTCGCAAAATTTCTACAGAAATGAGGTGGATCTTAGAATGGGTTTTCACACAGCAAATAAAAGATCCTTTCTTTGACATCCCAGGAAAGGGTGGAGGCAATTCTTATGTGAGGTGTGCAAGAGGGATGCCGTAATGTAGATCAGTGTTTCTCAACATTGGCGTACAGGCTGGGGATTTCTGAGAGTTGATGTCCACCCATATTCAAGTTGCCAAGGTTGAAAAACACTGGTGTAGATCCTGATGACATTTGGAGACAGCAACAAAGATGATCAGGGGACTGGAGGCTAAAACATATAAGGAACGGTTGCTGGAATTGGGTATGTCTAGTTTAATGAAGAGAAGGACGAGGGGGGACATGATAGCAGTATCCCAATATCTCAAGGGTTGCCCCAAAGAAGAGGGAGTCAAGCTGTTCTCCAAAGCGCCTGAAGGCAGGACAAGAAGCAACGGATGGAAACTAATCAAGGAGAGAAGCAACCTAGAACTAAGGAGAAACTTCCTGACAGTTAGAACAATTAACCAGTGGAACAGCCTGCCTCCAGAAGCAGTGAATGCTCCAACCCTGGAAGTTTTTAAGAAGAGACTGGACAGCCATTTGTCCGAAATGGTATAGAGTTTCCTGCCTGAGCAGGGGGTTGGACTCGATGACCTCCAAGGTCCCTTCCAACTTTATTATTATTATTATGGATCATCGCACAGTCAGCCAGATGTTCAGACTGGATTTGGAATTTTGTCTACCTATCAAGTCCTTACCAAGGACCTGGGATAGGCAGATGTGGATGTTTGATGGTATTACAGATATCGTTGCAGGATGGAAGCAGTTCCTAGTAAGGCCGCCTTTTGCACTTGACTAATAGTGAATTTGTCAATGCCAATGATGTTCAAGTGGTGCTCCAGTTGTTTTGGGATTGCACCCAAGGCGTATTATTATTATTATTATTATTATTATTATTATTATTGTTATTGTTATTGTTGTTATTATTATTATTATTATTATTATTATTATTATTATTATTATTATTATTATTACTTCTGCTCATCCAGTTGTCCTCTGGATTCAGAGTAGAGATGAAACTACTCGAAATTTGATTGATTGATTGATTGACTACATCCCATCAAGTCATTGTTGACTCTTATTTACCACATTGGTAGAATTTCTCCATGACAATTTCTTCCTTCAGCTCTTCTAACAGTGCACCCGCCGCTGCTGTAATTGGGTCCATCCTTCTTGCTGATGTCACCTTCTCTTTCCTTCCGCCTTTCCCAGCATCAGAGCCTTTTCCAGAAAGTTGGGTCATCGCATAATGTATCTGAAGTAGGATAATTTGAACCTGGCCATTGGTGTCTCAAGTGGGAACTCTGGATTCATTTGTTTGATGATCCATTTGTTTGATTTATTGGGTCGTCCACAATAGTCTCAGGAACATTCTGCAACACCAAAGTTTGAAGCATCAATAATCTTTCCTGCTTCTTTAAACCCCAACCTTTGCTTCCATGGAGTATCACAGGTGATACCACAGCTTGCACAATTCTGAACGTCATAGGTATAAACACATTATGGCACTTGAATATCTTTTCCAAGACCTTCTTGGTTGTTATTCAATATTCTAGTGCTCTTGCTTTATTGTACAATGACTTTAAGAATAGGATGAAAGAGTCTGAATTTACATACCATGACAAAGCATTATATACTTGATCTAATTGGTTAAATAAGACGCAAATAACTTAGTATGCACACATACCAAGCCATAAAGCATGGTTTATACCCTACCAGGCACTGTCAACAACAAACTATCCATATTATGACTTGGCACACCAGTTTTTTTAGATTTGTTTCTAGATCAGCCATGATCAATCCAATGTTCTCCAGATATTGCTCCTCAGAATTCTGGAACTTGTGGTCTCAACACAACTGAAGTAGAACCATTCTGGGCTTCAGGTTTGGTTCCGAAAAGCAGCTTTGGAGCATAGCAAACCATAAACCCACAGCCTTTAAAGAATTGGCATGGGCCAGCTGTTTGAAGGAGCTGTAAGGAGGTGCTACCTTTTC